GAACTCGATGATCTGTTGAGGTCCCTTCCGACCCTAGCATCTACGAATCAAACAAACTTGATTTCCTTCTTTGACAAAGTAATTACGTGGATGGGTGAAGGGATATAGTCTATAGCCTGTGGATATAGTGTATTTGGACGTCAGCAAGGCTTTTGACAAGGTCCCACATGACCTTTTCATAAACAAATGGGTGAAATGTGAACTAGACAAAACTGCTATAAGATAGGTGGACAGCTGGCTCAATAGCTGCAAGCGAAGGGTCATTATAAATAGGTCCTTGTCAGAACGGCAGGAGGTCTAGTGGAGTTCCACAGAGTTCTGTACTGAACCCAATGCTGTTCAACATGCTTGATGATTTGCATCTTGGGATTGAGAACTAGGGCAAATTTGCAGAAACCTGGGAAGGATTGCAAAATATGTTGGAGGACAGGACTGCAATTCAGAATGTTTTTGACAGTTTGGAAAGCTGGGCTGGACCTAACAGGTTGTATTTCAATGCAGACAAATGCAAGGTCCTATACTTTAGGAAGAATAATCAAAAACACAAATATAAAATTGGTGATACCTGCCTGGATGGCAGTATGACCAAGAAGGATCTGGGAGTCTTGGTACATCACAAATTCAACAGGAGTCTGCATTGTGATGCAGCCACACAAAAGGTGAATGCAGTTTTGGGGTGCATCAATAGAAGATTAGGTGCAAGACATGGGAGGTGTTAGTGTCTCTCTACTCTGCACTGGTTAGGCCTCATCTAGAGTACTCTGTGCAGTTCTAGGCTCAATATTTTAAAAAGCATGTAGAAAAGTTAGAGAGGGTGCAGAGGTGGCCTGCAAACATGATAATGGAAAGCAAATCGTGTGAGAAGATGCTGAAGGAGTTAGGCACATTCAGCTTGTGGAAAAGGTGCTTAAGAGGGGACATGATAGCAGTCTTCAAGTACCTGAAGGACTGCTGTAAAGAAGAGGGAGACACCTTTTCTTTTTTGCTGCAGAGAGTAGGACATGGACCAATGGCTTGGAGTTGCAGCAAAGTAGGTTAAGATTGGCTATCAGGAAAAAAAATTCTTCAGTGTTATACCA